TTTGGGGATTTTGTATTGAGTCGCGGTACTTTCTTATTAAGTATTTATGAGATTTTCACTACTAATGTTATTTCATTATGTTTTCAATTTAAAGATACGTGGTTAATTGTGACTTTCGGCTTCCCTAGTATTACGATAGACGTCATCATAACATATGAGATTTTGGGTCTTGACAAGTTGGTATCAGAACCTAGGTTACATAGGTCTCACAAGTCATGAGCAGATTTAGTAGAGTCTTGCGGATCGGTACGGAGACATATGGTGACATGTCAGGGGCAGCCTTTAGATGATGAGAGGCCTATGAGTTGATCAGGCCAGCCGGTGCTGCACAACTTATGTGGCACGAGTTCTCCGTTCTCTTCTTGGAGAAGTTTGTTCCACAGACCCGCATGGAGGAATTGCGTAGGTAGTTTGAGCAGCTACGTCAGGAGGGTATGTTCGTGACCTAGTATGAGATGAGATTTTCATAGTTGGCTCGTCACGCGATCTAGTTGGCTCCTAAAGAGAGGGAGAGGATTAGGAGGTTCATTGATGGCCTCAAATATGAAATGCCCTTTGTCATGACTCGAGAGATTGCATTAGGTGCTAGGTTCGACAAGGTGGTCGATATTGCTAGACGACTAGAGCAGGTTTGTAGTCAGGAGCGTGAGGAGAGGGAGGCCAAGAGGCCTCGTGGTGTGGGTGGTTTCAGCGGTGTTTCTTCTGAAGGGCAGTTCACCACAGTAGGGGTCATCCTTATAGGCCCGCTCAGATGGCTCGTCTCTTTTATCGTAGTGCACCGGTTAGCGACGGTTCATATAGTGCCTGTCCGGGTCAGTCATCTCTTAGTGCCCTCCCAGCTTAGAGTTTATCTTGTGCTCCATCAATTCAAGGGTAATCTGTGCCAGGTCCCTCTAGTAGTTATTCTGGATCTCGAGGTCCGCTTCAGTACCTGCTGCCATTGTCAGAGCGGGGGTTGCTTTGAGTGTGGAGAGTTTGGTCATGTAAAGAGGTATTGTCCCCATCTTTTGGGAGGTCCAGTTCAGCAGTGGAGTGAGGCTGCGACTTCCACACCATTTACTTCACCACTCGCTCAGCCAGCTCGGGGCGGGGCTCATGCAGCTATATGTCGCCCTAGAGGGTAAGGCCAATCAAGTGGCGGTCATGCTCGATGCTATGCTTTCCCTGCCAGGCCAGAGACTGTTTCTTCATAAGGAGTGATCACAAGTATTGTCTCAGTATGCCACAGGGATGCTTCTATATTATTTTACCCTGGTTCCACTTATTCGTATGTATCATCATATTTTGCTCGTTATCTGGATATGCCCCGTGAGTCCTTAGTTTCACATGTTTATGTATCTACACCGGTGGGCGATTATATTATTGTGGACCGTATGTATCGGCCGTGCGTGGTGACCATTGGGGGATTGGAGACTAGAGTTGATCTCTTATTGCTTAGTACGGTTGATTTTGATGTGATTCTAGGTATGGATTGGTTGTCCCCATGCCATGCTATTCCGGATTTTCACGCTAAGACCGTGATGTTGGCTATGTCGTGGTTACCTAGGATCGAGCGGAGAGGTTCTCTAGACTATGTTCCCAGTAGGGTAATTTCATATATGAAGGCCCAACAGATGTTTGGGAAGGGATGTTCGTCATATTTGGCTTTTTGTGAGGGATGCTGGTGCCGATACTCATACAATTGATTCTGTTCCGGTAGTGCGAGACTTTTTGGATGTGTTTCCTGCAGACCTTCCAGGCACGCCACCCGATAGGGACATTGAATTTGGTATTGAACTGGTGTCGGGCACTCAGTCCATTTCTATTCCTCCGTATCGTATGGTACCAACAGAGTTGAAGTAATTGAAAGAGCAGCTTCAGGAGCTTCTTGATAAGGGGTTCATTAGGCCTAGTATGTCACCTTGGGGTCCACCGGTTCTATTTGTGAAGAAGGATGGTACTATATGGATGTGCATCGACTATAAGCAGTTGAACAAAGTTACAATTAAGAATAAGTATCATTTGCCGTGCATTGATGACTTATTTGACCAGCTTCAGGGAGCTAGAGTGTTCTATAAGATTGATTTGAGGTTTAGGTATCACCAGTTGAAGATTCGGGACTCGGATATTCTGAAGATGGCATTCGGGGCCCGCTATGGTCACTATGAGTTCCTTGTGATGTCTTTTGGGCTGACCAATGCCCCAACAACATTCATGCATCTGATGAACAGTGTATTCCAGCCATATCTTGATTCATTTTTCATAGTATTTATTGATTATATCCTGGTGTACTCACGTATCTAGGAGGAGCATGCACAACACCTGAGAATTGTACTACAGAGGTTGAGAGAGGAGAAACTTTATGCCAAGTTCTCCAAGTGTGAGTTTTGGCTCAGTTCGGTGGCGTTCCTGGGACATGTGGTGTCCAGTGAGGGGATTAAGGTGGATCTAAAGAAGACAGAGGTGATTTAGAGTTGGCCCAACCCGTCTTCAGCTACTGAGATTCGGAGTATTCTCAGCTTGGCTGGATATTATAATCGCTTCGTGGGGGGTTTCTTGTCCATTGCAGCGCCTTTGACCAGGTTGACCCAGAAGGGTGCTCCATTCAGGTGGTCAGATGAGCATGAGGAGAGCTTTCAGAAGCTCAAGACTGCCTTGACCACAACTCCAGTTCTAGTTTTGCATTTGGCATCGGGTTCTTATACGGTGTATTGTGATGCTTCTCGGATTGGTATTGGGTGTGTCTTGATGCAGGAGGGTAGAGTGATTACTTATGCTTCACTTCAGTTGAAGCCTCATGAGAAGAACTACCTCATTCATAATTTAGAGTTGGCAGCCATCGTCCATGCATTGAAGATTTGGAGGCATTATCTCTACGGCGTGTCATGTGAGGTATTTACAGATCATCGAAGTCTTTAGCACTTGTTCAAGCAAAATAATCTAAATTTGAGGCAACGAAAATGGTTAGAGCTGCTAAATGACTATGATATTACCATTTTGTATCATCCCGGGAGGATCAATTTGGTGGCCGATACCTTGAGTAGGAAGGCGGTGAGTATGGGTAGCCAAAGTGAACAAATGTCAGAACATAATGTTAAATATATATCAGAGCCTAGTAACTCGGGAAACATGGATGATCTAGTATAAAAATTATAGTTTTCCATGATAGTACATGAGAATGCTTTTGCTTGAAAATTTTAAGCTACAAAAGGCATTCCAATTAAAATCCGAACAAGGGTTAAAAGAAACCCACTTAGTTGATGGTAGAATTCTGAAAAGAATTAATATACGGCGAGGCTGGTTGATTTCTAATAGGAATATTTGAGGACAAACATTCTCCTTAATTATGTAATGGTAGGAAACAAAACACTACGAATTTTGTTTTTTGACATCACAAGAATTCATTATTTTTAAGGCTCTAATTGAAACCCATCTTCAAAATACTACTAAAAGAAGTGGATAATCTGTTCTTGAAATTTTAGTTACTCTCTTTATATGAGTTAGTGGGTGTAAATTTATGTGATTTTCTTTATGGGACTCTAAATGGGGTCTTTTGAAATGGGATTTCATTGAAGAAAGATCAAAATTTGCTTATTGAAAGAAATGGATTTGGTCAAAGAACAGTGAGATTTATTTGAATTAAGATCATTGTATGTCAAGAAGATTATATATCTACAATAGATTTGTAGTGTAGTTATTTTCTTCCTGTCTGTTGTTCTGGAACCAGATGTCATCTATTTCTTTGTGTCGCCTCCTCTCCGGTATACTCACCTCCGGTATGTCGTTGTCTTTTGGGAGAAAAAGCCAAATCAAAAGGAATCAAGAAAGAGAAAAACAGAAAATAAATTAAAATTGGAAAAGGAGAAAAAGAAAAAAAGAAGAAACAACTAATACACTTCAAAGGCGTTTCACATGCTGAAAAAGAGTGGAACACACTCACTATGCCATGTCACTCATTTGCGTTCAATAGACACATTTCCCACTAACATTATGTGCTCTAGAAAACAACTTCAGTTGAAGTGTCTAATTGAGAAAATATGATAACTTTAAATGGCAGTCTATGTATTTGGTCAATACTATAATACTCAATTCGTTTTAATTTATGTGAATCTATTTCTTTTTTAGTCCGTGCTAAAAAGAATGACCCCTTTTCATGTTTAGAAATAATTTATATTTATGCAATGATTTATAGCCACACAAAATAAATGTGTCTCGTTTTACACCACAAGTTCAAAAGTTTTCTCTCTTTTCTTAAACTCCGCGCCCAGTCAAGTGAGTTCACATAAATTAAAATGAAGGAAGTATGAATTCAGTGGCGGAGCTAGAAGTTTTATTAAGGGGAATCAAAATATAAAGAAACAAACTCACCAAAAAGTTAAGGGGTGTTATTATATAATATATATACATATTGTTTTAAAAATTACCGAGCTAAACAATGTAATTTTCCCCTTGGGTGCATGTGGCTCCGCCACCGAGTATGATATACATGCAACCAAGCTAGAAAAAATGTACCCGTGACGTGCTTGCTGAGTAGTCGAGGAGGATGGGTGTGCATGCAATTGCATTCCCCTATATTAATTCCTAGATTGTTAAATAAGAAAAATAAAGTAGAACCCCTAACAAGAGCAAAAGCATTAAGCCACTGTGTTATTTTGGCAAAAGCAGATTTTGCTTTACCATTACTATTTGAATCCAGTGTCTTTATTCTTTTATAGAACAAGTTCTGAATCTTTGGGACTGCAGCTTGAGGGGACTATATCAATCTTTCAGTTCTATAATTAGGAGGCGTGACATGACTTCACATCAAAAATGAAAATTTAACCTTACCAGCTTAGGAAATATACCCACTGATTGCTTGCTACAACACATTTTGGCATCAATGAGGGTAGTCTTTTCATGCTTTTGCAAGCTCTACTCCTGTTTCAAATTATTCTAATAACATTTTTTTCCTTTTTCCACACTTTCCTTTTTAAATTTATTTTACCAGGAGAGGAGGATAAAAGAAGTGGAGAAACGGAAAGAAGAAGAAAGAAAAAAAAAGTACTTTTACTGAAAAGATTAGCTGATGTTTGATTTGCCCCCTCTTTTTACAGCCTCTCTTTGCCATATCACATTCCATTATTCTTTTGTTACAGTGGAGAAATATAAGAGAGGCTACAGAGAGCCCAAAGAACCTTTACTCTATTTTCCTTAGTTCTTTTTTCCTTTTTACATACTTCACTAGTTCTGCACTTCACTAGTCTTGATAGTTGAAAAAACTTTTAATACTCTTTCTAAGTCCTTTGCTTCTTGAATTCCTTTGATGTCAATTCCCTTAGAAGAGCATGATTACATAGGCCTATCTGAGAAGAGTAGTTGTGTTTCCTCAATAGAAATTAATGAGAGGAAAAGCAAAAAACACTTGAACTTGAACTTGAAGGCCACTGAGCTTAGACTAGGCTTGCCTGGTTTTGAGTCCCCTGAGAGGGGCCCATTTGGGGTTTTGAAAGGTTTAGTTTATGGAACCAAAAGGGGGTATTCTGACACCATGAATGGTACTTCTCTAAAGTTGGCTTTCTCTAGATCTGAGGTTGATTCTGCTAAAGGTCACAGTGGGTTGTTGTTCTCTCCTAAGGGTGGAAGCAAGATTCTTGGTGCTGTTGTCTCTGCAGAGAGTAATCTTCAACCATCTTCTATGGCCAATGTTGTGAAAGATCCTGCTCCAAAATCGCCAAGTCCAGCACAGGAGAAAAAGCCTCTGATTCCAACTAGTAATGGACATGGGGTTGCTCCAGCCACTAAGTAAATCTTTGAGAACCTCCCCTTAAAATTAAATACTACAGCATGAAGCTAGAGTTTTTGTGTTCTTTTTCCTTCTTTTGTAAATAGTAAGATTATATCTTAACTGAATCTTACCTCCCATAGGTTTGTCTAATTATCTTCTTGAACTCAACCTTAATAGTTAACAGTATGGTTTGGACTTCCGGTGTTGCTAGAAAAGTTTTCTCTTCTTTATTTGCTCAACCTTCAAAGAGCTACCATGTTTTGTCACATTCTTTTGAATCCTCCGTAAGCTTGTTCTGCTGTTACTTCTTTCCTCTCTGTTTGATCAACATGTATTTTTTTTCCCTAAAGAGAGAGGGAGAGTTGGGGTTTTCAAGTTCTTGAGCTGGCTCTCGAGCCGAGGGTTTTCGAGGGTAGGGGTAAGTTTTGCGCACACATTACTCTTCCCATGCCCCACTTGTGGGAATTCACTTGGTTGTTGTTGTTGAGCTGGCAAATGTTAAATTAGTAAGGAAATTAAGGACCTAGCTCCTGGAACTACATAGTAACTGGAGCTACTTTTGTTTTCTGGTCAGGACACAGGTAGTAGGATGGCCACCAATTCGATCTTTTCGGAAGAAGTCAATAGTCAGTAATCCTCCCAAGACTGAGGAGGATGTGGATGGTAAGTTAGGATCTGCTTGTGTTTATGTCAAAGTTAGCATGGATGGTGCCCCTTATCTGAGGAAGGTTGACCTTAAGATCTACAAAAGCTACAATGATCTGTCTTCAGCACTAGAAAAGATGTTCAGCTGCTTTACCATTGGTAATGCCTTGATGACAGTTGTCTGTATTCTTTTTCTTTTCGGCTTAATGATTTTAACTCTTGAAGGCATTTCAAATGATTTTTTTTTCTTTTGAGGTTCGTTGTGCTGATTTAATCCTATAGAGGTCCGTTGAGGAGGTTTTAACTGCAAATAGCTTTATAGCCTGTTTGGCTCTTTTGAGGCAAAATCGTTATTTTTGGTCAAATTAAGGTGTTTGGCCAAGCTTTTGAAAGAAAAAAAAAAGTGATTTTGAGAAAAATCAGAAGCAGTTTTGGAGAAGCAGAAAAAAGTAACTTCTCACCAAAAAAATACTTTTTTGAAAAGCACTTTTGAGAAAAATACACTTAGAAATACTTTTTTAAAGCTTTGCCAAACACTAATTGCTGCTCAGAAGTGTTTTCAAATTAATTAGCCAAACACAAACCGATTCTCATCAAAAGTACTTTTGAGAAAGTACTTTTGAGAAAAGCATTTTTGAAAAAAAACACTTCTCAAAATAAGCTGATTTTTGCAGCTTGGCCAAGTGGGCTATTAGTACAGTACTGCTCGAAACTTCTTTGTTGTTAATCTAGCATGTCCTGTTGGACTTTATCGTTATATGTTGTCTTTGAAGTGATTTGCTTCTTGTTTCGTTGAGATATTCTTCTTAATTCCTTCAATCTCTCTCTTTTTTTTCTTTTGAACCATGGTGTGCGGGCAGCTTGCATGCAACTCGACTAATTCCACGGAATATCTGCCACTTCCCACCAGCAATAGGTATCAGGTAACTCTATCCCCAAGGCTTGGATAGAAAGGAAGAAATCACGTAGTGTTTTTGTCTCGGCTGATGTTCAAACTTGAGACCTCAAGTTTTCAACCCACTTCATTTATCACTATGCCACACCCCTTCGGTGCAAAGATAAATAGGGATAAAAGCACAAAAATTTCCATCGTAACATCCAGTTTAGATTATGCTCAAATTGATTAGTTCATCAGACAACAGGTTACAAGAGTGGTTTGCTGACAAAAGTGGGTTGCTCTAGTGGTGAACACCCTCCACTTTCAATCAAGAGATTGTGAGTTCGAGTCACCCAAGAGCAAGGTGGAGAGTTCTTGGAGGGAGGAAGCCGAGGGTGTATCGGAAACAGCCTCTCTACCTCAGGGTAGAGGTAAGGTCTGCGTACACATTACCCTCCCCAAACCCCACTAGTGTGATGATACTGGGTTGTTGTTGTTGTATCGGACAACAGGTTACAACCCACAAGCACAAGTACCGGGTAAATCTACCCATTAATGATTGAGCAGAGGGCCTCAAACTGAGCGTTGTTGCTGTGATTGGAACTTAGATTTCCAGTAGTAAAGTTTGTTACTCCTGTCTCAAGCACTTAGTCATCTCCTTGAGGATTAGTTTTATGATTATTGGCTCTCTCAAGGGAATTAGTAATTTATTTCTGATCTTAAGAACAGTATCTAATATGCTGATTTTTTGGTTGGAACGCCTTGATCTTAAATCTTAAAAAGCATTCATTTTCTAGCTCAAATAAAGATAAGTTGCTAAATGAGGTGGAAGGCAACAATTGACAAAAATTGTTTGCTTGCTGTGATGCTGTCATGAGTCTAGGTAGTGAACAGTGTACTTTTCGGTGTGAACTGTTGATTAAACATACACGTGCCTGTTTCTTTCTGCTTTAAGAATCTACTGAATTTCAACTTTCATCTGTGATTATTTCAGGTCAATGTGGAACTGAAGGCATTCCGATTCGTGATGGACTAACTGAAAGTAGATTGATGGATCTTCTACATGGATCTGAGTATGTTCTTACCTATGAGGACAAGGATGGTGATTGGATGCTCGTTGGTGATGTTCCATGGGAGTAAGTTTGATGTCTAATCTGAGTTGTCGGATGACCACTTTCGTAAAGTTCATATATGTTAAGTAATTTAATCAAATGCATTCATCCTATCTTAAACCTATCAGAAATACCTGCGCGTGAAACTTGTACTTTTCCTCCAAACTTCGGTGTTGCCTGAGAGTTCATATTTCACTGAATTAATTGTATCCATCTATCTGTCATGTATATATATATATATATATATATATATATATATATATATATATATAAAGCTTTTCNTTAATATCATGGAGGATTTATATGTGATAGTGATGCTTTAGTCATTGAATTATTAGATCTTAGAATTGTGAATACTTCTAGTCTTTTCCCTCTCTGTTCATCAATCTGAATCCTGATCCTACATAGGGAATCCTGTCCTGTAGGCCATTTTTATGAGTCTTACTTGCCATGAATTATTATATGTAGGATGTTCACAGGGTCTTGCAAGAGGCTGAAGATCATGAAGAGTTCAGATGCAATTGGTCTAGGTAAGTTAAAAGGGGCTTTTCCTTCTCTTCATATTCAGACAAGGCCTATCACTTTGTCCACTAGGGCACCCGGTGCACTAAGCTCCCGCTATGCGCGGGTCTGGGAAAGGGCCGGACCACAAGGGTCTATTGTACGCAACCTTACCCTGCATTTCTGCAAGAGGCTGTTTCCTCAGCTCGAACCCGTGACCTCCTGATCACATGGCAACAACTTTACCAGTTACGTCAAGGCTCCCCTTCACTTTGTCCATTACTATGTGAAAAAAAAATCTAGTGCTGCTTCTGAAATGTATGTTAATTTATATTGTAAGTTTACCAGTTCCAGAATAAATCTAGGATGAGTCTATCTCATATGATATTTGACCTGCATCAATTTTTTTTGGGCAGCCCCAAGAGCCATGGAGAAATACAAAAACCGTTAAACAAGTAGCACTCTCGCTACAAATGTTGCAGGTATCTTGAAGCAAATGGATGATGGAAACTGGAAAGTGAAGTGTCTGCTGATATATGTTAGTAGTAGAAGCCTTAATTTGGATTTGAAGTTGTGTACCACGCTTTTAAGTTTGTGTGTGTTAAGTCTCTATTTGATGTAAGGGAAAATAACCCTCTGATAGAAACATATATTCATATCCACAAGTATTCTTACTGGTTGCTTCAGCAAGGCTTCTGTGTCTCTATTGTAAATGGTCTCATCCTTTAATAAATCACTCATGTCAGTGTGGCTAAAGTTGTCCATCATTTGGCGTTTATTTTCTCCATTTACATAGTTATTTAATTACCTTGAGGGGTATGTGTATTTGTTTTTCCGACTTTTGCGGATGATCATCCTTCAGCCACTAGCACCCATAACAGGGGAAAAAAAAATAGAAACTCAAAACGATGTATTGTTTTATTAGTAGTAAGCAAGAAGAGACAATTTGCATTGCATGTGGTCATGTTACAAAAGATCTCTCTTTTAGAACATATTGCTCATTGATCAACTTGGTGGTGGTTAAGGGGACATCATTCAACTTGATGTTCGTTTTTCAAAGGGTAACATTGAAGATGTATTAGGCCTTACTGTCCTTAAATGTGCAGTTGAGCACTGGGATTGCAGTCACTCGTTAATAATTTGTTCTAAGAGCCATAAATGTGGTGGGAGCTTACCAAATTGTTATTTCATGAGAAAATTTGACTGCACATCTGTTTTCTGTGGGCTCTTCTGTTTATTTGTTTGCAGCTAAAGAGATAGGAACTCTGCCACGGTGTGTGAATACTAGTTTAGTAGAGCGGACTTCTACACCAGCCTTTTCACCCACTGCAACGAGTTAACATGTGGTCGTTGTACGTAACCATTTGATCAATATTTTTGTTTAAACAAGAAAGAAATAAAGAAACTCATCTCTCCTTTTCCCTCACTTGAGTGGTAGTTCAGCGTTAAGAGTTGTTAATCTTCCTCTTTCTCACCCAAGAATTATCGGTCGTGTGATGGCGGTAATCCTGGCCTATAGACTTTTTGGAGTCACAATTCTGACAGAGAGTCAACTAATTCCTATCCAAGAGCGGTGTATACGGTAAAAACCCGTTAGTCCTTCGTACGGACTGGTTTAAATGGTAATACATTGGATCGGAGAAGCGTCTTTATAGTATCAGGTTGAGGTCCGAAGTCGGGCCACCAAACTTCGAACCCGAAGAACCGATCAACGTCGAGCTCGATGTTATTATCAAGCTCGAATCCAAACCGAACTATGATGCAAAGTAAAAGTTATCGAGCTTATGATTCAAAGTAAAAGTTATCGAACTTATGCCAGAAAAGTCTAACGAATCAATGTTCGGTGGCCTTGGCTTTCAGTCGGCCACAAAGCTAGAACACCAGTAGAACAAATAGAATCAAGAGAAAGCACAGAATATAAAAATATATGCAAGGTGTGAGTCTGAGAGCATGAATCACTAGGTCTGCCTCTAGGGGGACAAAGGAAGGGTTTATATAGAATCGATAACATGTAAACAAATAAGCAAAAGAATAAATTACACGGAATAAGGGAGAAGACTCATGCATATCGATTTCAAATCGGATTTAGGGCAAAATCGCACAAAGAACCCCAATCACGAAGAAATCGTCGGAGACATGCCAAAATGGGAAAATATTCTTCCTTCTCCGATGTATAAAGCCAAAATCGCATCCCAATCCCTAAGGTCGTAACCGTGTCCGCCTGATTTTAGGAAGATCATGCTTTCCATAGATAGATTGGTAACGAAAATTACAATAACTGGGAGAGTAAGATAAATACATGGTAACGAAACCGCGTATGAACGCATATAAGGAAAGGGGTGGGGAAATCTTCAGGGTCGGCTAGGGTATTGTAAGAGAGACGAGGAGAGAGCTTGAGGGCGACTGTGAGCGGGTGAGGAATGCTCGGGTTCTAAGAGAATCGGGTCATACAGGG